TGAATTAGTGCATTGTGGTATTGTGTGCCTAGGTTAATTGCCACCCAAGGAGTCAGTTTTTGCCACCACCTCAGACACAACATCATGCCTATTATTTGCTTGGTAGCTCAGTTCTCAATGCTCCATGAACAGAGAACTGGGGACTGTCAATCATCGCTGTCTGCTCTGCCCCCACCACCACCTCCAATGGGAGCGACTGGCTCAGGCTGTCGGCAGATCGCTAAGAGGCAGAGCTAGGTGCTGGTCAAGCCTTCTTTGTGGATCCCATATGGTTGGAATCTTTCCCCAGCTTGGACCGGCTCTGTGAGGCCTTCAGCCAGTTGTTGGCTGAAAAAAAAAAAGTCACAGGAGTGTAGAACAAACTGCACTTCTGTGATCCAAAGAAGTACAGCGAAACAAGCTTGGGCTGTACTTCTCCTTTAACATTTAGTTTGCTAAAGTACTTTTTGTATCGTAAAAAAATGTAGCTTTCTGATATCACTGCATCAAAGAAAAAAAACATCTAAGTACAAGAAGAGTATGCACCTAAAGCTCCTCACATTATATCAGTTACATTCAATGCACCCTCCCATTTCCATAGATAAAATTAAAGTTAGACACACACTAGTTGGGCCTATTATCCCTAATTAAACCTTTCTTGCTGCTGGTCAACTTCACACTGCTGTATCTTCTGCAGTATAATAATTCTTGTAGTAAAACCCCAGCTTGCATCCTCTTTTTCTAGGACAGTTAAACCTAACACTGCTATTTAAAGTTTTTCTGCTGCAGCCAAATTTTGTATCCTCTGCTATCTCTTAATTTTTGCAGTAAATCATCCTCCTGTACTCTGTTTCCCTAGTACAATCCAGTCAATTCTATCTACTCCTGTTTTATCTGGGCTTTCTTAAAGTGGCTCTAAGAGCTAGGCATTCCCTGCATTAAGGTAAAAAAATGTCCCTGTATTCGTATGTCCCCCTCACCACCCTGTATACTGACGTGAGCCAGATCTCAATCAAGCGCTGTACCCATTGTACTGCCATTGACTCATGCTGCTGTCAATCAAATCCTGTAAGCAGACAATAGGAGGCAGGAGTGAGCCATGCTGTGTATGCCAATGGACACACTCCGGCCGGCTTCAGATCGAGAATACAGGCAGGGCCCTATAGTAAGTAGTTTGCCGGTGAGGGACTCCAGAAAGAGGAGGTTTGGGGCCGCTCTGTGCAAAACCATTGCTCAGCACAGGCAAGTATAACATGTTTGTTATTTTAGAAAAAAATGCATTTACAACCACTTTAATTCTTAATTAGAACTTGAGAGAAATTGGCCAGCTGCAGGACAAATTTGCATCCCTGAGAACTAGGAAGACCAAAAAAAAACTAATGGAAAAAGCTACATGAAAAAATATTTTTTTGATAATAAAATGAATCAGATTCAGAAGCTGCTGTTGTGTGTAAGATAAACTTATTGTAAAAGAATTGCAAATATGTGCTACCAGTGTATGCTGTTGCGCAGACTGTCCTTGAAAATTGTAGAGATCTCTAAAACCACATAGCTTTAAGGCATCCTGTAAGACTGTTATTTAACGGAAAGTATATTTTCTATGTTGCCCTTGTCCTTGAAAATAAAATCCTACGGTATGATAATTTATATTTTTGGTTTGCATTGGTGCATGTCTTCAATGGCAGTGCTCAGCAATCATGACATTTTTACAGTATTTTATCTATTAGCCCAAAAATGTCCAGATTTAAAGCAGTAGTACACTGCATCTGAGCACCACAAAAACAAAAATGTTATTTAATTCAATTTTAGTATTCAAAGCAAACTCCTGCATCCATTCTGGTCTGCATGTTTTATTTTGTTGGGAAATCACATTTGAAAAAAAAAAAAAAAACCTAATATTTCTAGCTGTGGCCATCTGAGTAAGGAAAGATGATTCATGTAGCATTTACTTCCTGGAATCCATCTACCCTTAGCTCAGGCATGCCGGCAAGAGGGTATGCTTAGCTGAGAAAACCCTCTCCTCCCCTCTTGAAGTCTCCTGAGATGTACAACATTTTCTCAGGCCTGGAAACCAGGAAGCAGGTGAAGAAGTGTAACAAAAAATAGTTTAAAACAAGCAAATATAATATAATTTCCTGTCTATTTACTAATGCTAGCAGCATAAGGAATAGAAATAGTTAATGCTGACCAAGAGAGTGAAGTTTCGCTTTAACAAGATTTGCCCTCATAGATTTCAATGGGTTTTAACCCTACATTTGGGTTTGCCAATTTTGAACAAGATTCTCCTTGGCAAATGGAAATGGAGCAGTAGGACAAGCATGACTCACCATAAAGGGTTGGAAAAGATATTCCAACTGTTAAAGAGACTAAGCTCTGGTTAAAACAAATTCTCTTCCATTGCTCTCAGCCTCCTCCAAATCTCCAAATTCCTTTTATTTGTTGCTGTAATACAGCCTGTTAAAGGGTGGTTAAGTTCATTCTCCATGTTCCTACTGTATGTAGGAACATAGGCCATCTCGGGAGGGAACAAGAGAGGGTGGCTATGGACTATGGGATGTGTAGTGTGCTTACAGCAATATGATTGACCACAACTAGCAAGAAAATGTTCTAAGGAGACGAAAAAACACAGTAAGAAACAAACTCATGAAAAATAGGTTACAGGGCCATGTGCATGGGTTATTTTTGAAGAATAAGGATATAATTTAGAGTCACTTTAAAGTGGTTGTAAAGGCTAAAAGTATTTTACCATCTGCCGCATATTTCGTACCATTTGTAAATGAACATGTGCTGAGAGCACGCACACTGCACATGTGTCGGCGTCCCACGGTAAGGTCCCGATCTCTCCTTGCGATTGGGACCTTACCGATCAAGTGAATGCCGTAACAGCCAATCACAGCGGTCACGTGACCCTAAACTCCGCCCCACCTCCCGGCATCAGAAACCCTTAAAGGGCCTAGAGGCGTTGGTATGAAGGGGTTAAAGTATAAAACCTTTCATGTTTAGCTCTGCCCAACCTCCCTAAATACTTACCTGAGCCTAATCTCGATCCAGCACTGTGCCCATCTTCAGTGCTGCGTTCTCTTCTCTCTCTTCCCAGAGAGACTGAGGCAGCAGTGGGAGCCATTGGCTCCTGCTGCTGTCAATCAAATCCTTTTTAAAATCACTTATAACCTGCGTTCGGATACTCCTTGTATATGAAATAACCTAACAAATAATAACTGCACCAATAAATGTGCGAATGTGTATAGCTGCTGCTTCTGTGAAAGGTACTGACCTTTGGATCTAATATTATAGATTTTTAATTATAGTTTTTTAATTATAATAAACTGTATTTCACTATGTGGGTCCCCTTTTCTCTCTATTACACATCCGTATGAGGGGTTTATAACTGTGAATGGAAATTCAGCAACCGGGGATTGGGTAAAGGACTGGACCCCAAAGAGGACTATAAATCCCAGATGAACCTATTAAGCACACAAGTGCGATAGACTCTTATAATATATTAAGACTCCACGCAAGTTGGTGAGTAAGTAGGACCACCGGAGGGGAGGATTTTTGCACTTTAGAAATATTGTACGTTTGCACACAAAGAGACTAAATACCACTTCATTTAAAATTAATTTCATATTTATTTATTTATTTAATATTTATTGTGACGGTGTGCTTGTATGAACATTGTGATATAGAGCAGATTGCATGAATTTTTTATTGATATGTGTATATCATGAGTCAATCAAATCCTGTAAGCAGAGATCAGGAGGGCGGAGCTGAAAAATATTGTACGTTTGCACACAAAGAGACAAAATACCACTTAATTTTAAATTAATTTCATATTTATTAATGCAATATTTATTGTGACGTATGAATATTGTGATATAGAGCAGATTGCATGAATTTTAATGATATGTGTATATCATGAGTCAATCAAATCCTGTCAGCGGGGAGCAGAGGGCGGAGCTGAGCCACACTGTGTGCATCAATAGACGCACACAGCTTGGATCAGGAGCAAGTCCATATGAGTGCCCCCATAATAAGCAGCTTGCTATGGGAGTACTCAGAGAAGAGAAGGAGCATAGAGCACCAGCTGGGAACTGCAGAAGAGAAGTATCAGGGCTGCTTTGTGGAGCAGGTAAGTATAACATGTTTATTATTAAGAAAAAAATAAAAGAATCTTTACTATCACTTTAACTGTGGACTAGAAAGACAGAATCTATACGTATATGATATATTAACAATATGATTAGAATTCCTCAGCTGTAATCTTTTTTCCAATATACACAGATTATGCATTATGCATGAGGTATTGCTTTAGCTAGGTCATAGTGGTGCACACTTTTTTTTAAGGCTTGTCAAGATAAGGAGTGAGTGATTGATGAATGTGAAAGCCATTTCTGGGTCTTGAGGAATATATAGACGTTTATTCACTAAATGGTGTATGACAGATTAACCGCACCCTAGCTGCAGATGTAACGCCAGACAATTTCACAATTTCTTAGTGCTTCTAGCAAGACGAGCAGACAGCTGAGAAATCCACTTTAAATCACGAAGTCTGAACATTTAAGAGCCAGTGGTCCTTTAAGATCATTTAATACTTTGCCGTCAACCTAGAGATACACATACATGATACATACAAGTAGCTCATCCTGCCTGCTCAGTGCTTCAATTACCAATCCAGGCATAGATACATTGTGCCAGTCTACACTACTCTTCTTTGGCTGATTATTCGGTGATCTTGGAACCCCTGATTGTTATAAAGATGACGAATCCTCATCCCCACTGCTGGTTACTTGCTGTCTTTCACATACAGAAACACTGATGCAAAGACTGTTAGTACTTCCGATGTTCTTAAAACAGCCAATCAGAATTAAACCTGCCTGTGTGAATTGATTGGTGATTGAAGCAAAGAGAAAAAAGTTACAGTATTTCAGGAAGTATGCTGTCAGCAATGCTCTGAGATGCTTTCTGGATTCTGTGAGCAATAGGTTACAGATAACTGAGATTTGACTTAGAGTGTTACTAAACCCAGGACCCTGCATTCACTATATCCGGTCCCCCACAGTACATTATTTTAGTAAATATAAACTGCTAAATAGCTTTTCTCATCAGAAGTTAGAGCAGTCTTTTGACTTCTATCAGTGTTCATCCAAGCACTAGCTAAAGTTTGTAGGAGGAGTTTTCTTTCTGCTCTAGGAGGATGCAAAACCCCTGACCTCTGTCTGACCAGTGCTGATTGACCCTGTGCTGATCATATGCACTCTCCCAAGAAAGAAAATAACCTCTCTAGCAAAACACACCAAACTGAGCATGTGCAAATGCCTACAGTTCAGTCTGTCTTATCAGGAGATAAGAGGTGGTCGCTTGAAAAAAGGAGGAACAGAGAAGACAGGATCAAACAGCCTTTTTACACAATGCAGAGGATTACCCCTTTAGGTTCCACAGTGAGTATAACAATCATACTTTACTGAATATACAGACTGATTTTACTGTTGTGAGTTTAGTAACACTAGTGCTAATAAACTCAGGACCCTGCATTCACTATATCTGGTCTCCCCGGACCCTGCATTCACTATATCTGGTCTCCCAGGACCCTGCATTCACTATCTGGTCTCCCACAGTACACAGAACATGGAAATTCAATTATTTTAGTAAATATAAACTGCTAAATAACTTTTCTCATCAGCAGTATATAGCAATCTTGTGACTTTTATAAGTGTCCAGCTCAGCACTGGTTAAAGTTTGTAGGAGGAGTTTTCATTCTGCTCTGACTGTCCTATGAGGATGCATGGCCCCTGACCTTCTATCTGAACAGTGCTGATTGGTCCTGTGCTAATCACATGCACCCTCCCAAAGAAAAAAAAAAAAACTCTCTAGCAATACACACTAAAGTGAGCACGCCCAGAGTGAATACTAGAGCTCTGTACTGTCAGCAGATGGACTGGGGACAGTAGAAGAAAGGTTTAGAGAAGTCAGGATCAAACAGCCTTTTTACACAATGCAGAGGATTAACCCCTTAGGTTCCACAGTAAGTATGACAAGCATGCTTTACTGCATATAAAGACTGATTTTACTGTTGTGGGTTTAGCGTAACCTCCCTAGCGGTCTGATTATGTCCATATTTCTGTGCTCAAAGTGGTACATTTTTTTGCATGGAAATATGTAGTTTTTTTATTGTAGGCTGTAATTTTTAGGAATAACTCACTGAAATCTGTCCGAACAAGAGTCTAGTAAACATCCCGGGTAGGATAAAATTTGAAACCCGAAATCATAAATTATAATTTAATAAATAATCATAAAAAATAATAATATAATAAGAATACATTTAATTCAATAATATAATCAAACCAAAAACACTGAAATTTGAAAATATAGCGCCAAGTTCGCACATCACTGAGCAAAGTCGCAAAATGTTTTCAGTGTCTGATGACGAATTTCCCCACAAATCATTATCACTCAATTCTGCAAGTGGTTCTGATTTACTATCGCTGTTCTCTAACCGGTCTAAAACCGCTTTTGACCTAAAGGAACGCTTTTTGGACGCCATGGACGTTTCTCAGTTTCCAGGCAGAAAGAACATTAAAAATGCAGGCAGGGCACAGGACAAAGCACTCGGGACAAAATGTATGTGAAATGGTTTGATACAGTAATGTTATACTATGTGATTTGTAGTATATTTAGTGAATGTCATTTTTACATTTCCCGCCGGTTCCGTCCCCCGTATGTCCCGACGTTGCAGGCAACGGAACCCAGAAGACAGATGCCGGTATCCGCCGGAGGACATTACCGGGGACACTGCAGGGGGGACATCACGGGAGCGCAGGACAAGGTAAGTGAAGAAAGGATCCCGGAGCAACGCTGCAAGGTATTCCCGAGTGTAGCTCGGTGTTACCACTTTGTGGTGCTGAAACTTTACCCCGAGCTACACTCAGGAATACCGCCAAGGGAGTTAAAGTAAAGAAAAAAAAACTTTTTTAGTTTTGGAGCGAGTGGAGAGAAATTCAAACTCCTGTCAGGAAATTCACCCTGTTTGTTCTGTTTACCATTATCATTGAAAGTGAAAGTTGAAGAAAATCCCAAATTGTGGGTTGTCACCAGAACAGGAATACAGGGGATTTTTTTTCCCAATGGGGAAACTAGTTCTGATGACAACCAGGGATTCTCTCACTTTGGATGGATTTTCTCTCACTTCCTGTTTTGGCTTTGAGACTGAAAATCTCCCCAATGGGACATAGAAAAATATAACAGGGGTTATTACCCTCTATTACTAGGACATAGAAAAAAAAACCTCTATTACTCTATCCAAAATGTAAACAAAAGTCTTGCTTTAAGTTCCATGTTAGCACAGTTATGATGTTTGTTGGATAGGATTAGTAGCTCAGTGATTGATCTCACTTGATGCCTTGAATGTCTATTTAAAGAGACCTAGAAAATCACTAAACCTAGAAAATTGCAGGTAAAAGCATGTGTAGCCCCTGGTCCTAAACTGGGGCTAGTATGCAAATTTAGTCAGTATGTCACTGGTGCATGCTGGGAGAGGATATAAATATTTGGGACAGGCCCTTTGCTCGCTCTCTTACCTCAGTCCGAGACCTGAGGAGGTTCTGCTCACGAGAGCTCCGTGTTAGGCCCAGAAGCCTAATTGGGCCTACCTGCTTTGAAGTGGTCCTGAGGCTGTAGTGCCTGGGCCTGAGGAGGTGCTGCTCACAAGAGCTCCATGTTAGGCCCAGAAGCCTAATTGGGCCTACCTGCTTTGAAGTGGTCCTGAGGCTGTCGTGCCTCGGCCTGAGGAGGTTCTGCTCATGAGAGCTCCGTGTTAGGCCCAGAAGCCTAATTGGGCCTACCTGCTTTGAAGTGGTCCTGAGGCTGTAGTGCCTGGGCCTGAGGAGGTGCTGCTCACAAGAGCTCCATGTTAGGCCCAGAAGCCTAATTGGGCCTACCTGCTTTGAAGTGGTCCTGAGGCTGTCGTGCCTCGGCTTGAGGAGGTGCTACTCACGAGAGCTCCGTGTTAGGCCCAGAAGCCTAATTGGGCCTACCTACTTTGAAGTGTTCCTGAGCTGTCATGCCCGGGGTGGAGGAAGTTGAGCCAAGGTGAGAAGATCCAGCGGAGGTCCCTTTCTGGAGAGAGCCAGGATGAAGGCTGGTCTCTCCAAAGGGCCTGGTGACTCGCTTGGAGGACATACTAGACTCTGACAGCATGCTTGCAGTGTTGTTGGGTCAGCTTGAAGGTTCTGGCACTGTGAAGATGGAATTTGTTTTGGATCCAAGGAGTCTGTAAGTGATCTGCATGGCATCTGAAACCCCTAACCCTCTCCTTCCACCTCCTTTCCAAGTCCAACATTAAAGTTTTGAAAGACCTAAAGTGACTGGTACCCATTTTCTGTTCTAATCTCTCCTTTATAGCCCTGGGATAAATGCTAGCTCTCTGGCCTTTGGAGGTAATATCTGACTTCAGGAGAGTCAGGGGGGTGCTACACACACAACAAAATCATGTAATTTAAATGTTTTTTCCTATCCACAAATGTTTGTTTGTCTTATTTGATCCATTTTGGACTGTTAAATATACCATTAAAAGCATTTATTTATATCTGCTTTAACAAGTGCAAAAGAATATATTTTTCACCTAGTCCATGGGGTCTCCAAACTATGGCCTGTATGGCCACATCCAGCCAGCTTGATTTTATCAGGCCCACAGCCAGAATTAGTGGCATTTGCTCAATGAGACTGAGGATTAGGGTCAGCAGATGTTGCCTGTATACTCTGTTTATGATGTAAAAGAGGATTCTGATTAGGACACTGATGTAAGGGAGGACTCTAATGGGGCCCCCCCTGATGAGGCCCCTGATATAAGAGGGGACTTTGGGAACCTGATATAAGGGAGCCCCTGATGTAAGAAAGGACTTTATGGTTCCTCTGATGTAAGGTTTGGTTCACATAGATGCATTTTGTGTTTGATGCTTTCTCCAGTGCTTTCTGCAGTTTGTTTTTCATTTTTCTACACACTTTTTTTGACGCATTTTTACAGAATTTTTCTTGGCCCTTTTTTTTTGGTTAAAGTGGAATTTTTTTTGTTGCTGGGCAGAATGAAAATGCAAAACACAAAATGTGGCAAAAACGCGCTACCATGCATTTCAGCAGCTTTTCCATTGACTATTGTAGCAAATACGTCACCATGTTCCTACGCGTTACGTCCCGTTAACACGCGACTTTCTCAGACCCTGAAGAAGTCATGTGTTAATGGGATGTAACGCGTAGGAATGTGGTGACATATTTCCGGCGTGGACGCCACCTTGCTACACCCAAAAATGCCCATGCAAGTACACCCATAGCTTGAGGTTTTTTTTCAGCTTGTTTTATGCCTTGCAAAAATGAGTGGGCATTTGGCTATACATGTTTTAAATAACATTAAACAGTTTTACACTATGGGAGATCTTTCTGCTTTTATCGTGACCATTTTTTGATGTGAGCTGGCTGAGGGAGATCCTGGCTGCTTCTTCCACTAACTTGTGAAGGGGATATCACCGCTGTGGATCGATACTATCCTAGAAGGGGGGACCAGACCGTGGACGATCACTCTTGTTTTCTAACAGGCGTTTTGGCCCTTTGGGTCGCTTCAAGGAGGTGAGGGGGCAATTCAGCTGTTTTATTATTATTATTATTATACAGTATTTATATATATACAGTATTTATCCCTGAGGGAGATCCTGGCTGCTTCTTCCACTAACTTGTGAAGGGGATATCACCGCTGTGGATCGATACTATCCTAGAAGGGGGGACCAGACCGTGGACGATCACTCTTGTTTTCTAACAGGCGTTTTGGCCCTTTGGGTCGCTTCAAGGAGGTGAGGGGGCAATTCAGCTGTTTATTATTATTATTATTATTATACAGTATTTATATAGCGCCAAAGGGTATGCTCAGCGCTGTACAGTAGCAAGGGGGACAGAACATGAGACAAGACAGTAACAATACAATACACGAGGGGTTCGAGGGCCCTGCTCTTTCAAGCTTACAATCTAGGAGGGAGGGGAAGGTGGCACAGGAGGAGATGGCTATGGGGGATGGAGAGGTGGGAGGAGTGGAGGAGGTTAGTTGTTAGGTGAGGTCGGGTGTTAGGTGAGGTTGGGGTAGACTTCCCTGAAGAGGAAGGTTTTCATGGTGCGCCTGAAGGTGAGGAGGGTAGGCGACAGTCTGATGGATTGGGGTAGAGAGTTCCAGAGGATGGGGGAAGTCCTGGAGAAGTCCTGCAATCGGCGTGGGAGGAGGAGACCAGGGAGCTAGAGAGTAGGAGGTCCTGTGAGGAGCGGAGGGCACGGGGGTAGGGTAGTATTTGGGTATCAGGTCAGTTATGTAGTTTGGGGCGGCGTTGTGAATGGCTTTGTAGGTCAGAGTTAGCAGTTTGAATTTGATGCGTTGGGCAATCGGGAGCCAATGAAGGGATTGGCAGAGGGGGGAGGCAGATGTGGAGTGGTTGGTGAGGTGGATGAGTCTAGCCGCTGAATTTATGGATTATTTCCTTCTGGTTGTCATGTATATTTAACTATATCACCTGCACTTTCTGAGTCGTTGGATTATTTGGTGATTTATACGCACCTTTGAACTTTATTTTTCTGGACAATTTTTATGTGACACTTTAATTGTATTTTTTTTTTAATATCACATTTTGTTGTGATATCACTTAAATAATGTTTGCTTTTATTTATTAATTATTTTTTGTATTCTAATCACTGTACTTGTCACTATTGTGTGATATATATATATATAATCCCAC